GGAACTGTCAGTCCCGTTGTTTTCTCCTCCAGATTGTTCATCCAGCCTGTCCTATCCAGACAGGCCTAAGTTGTTGTTTTTCTAATGTGATTCTAGATATGCTGAATGATCATTTACCAGGTATTTTGTTATTAATATGTTTGTGTTTCACTATTTGTGCAACGGTGTAAAACGTCGTGTCTCAAACTACACTCCTAAGATTGTGCAAGTCACCAGCCCTTTCGAGCCAAGCCCCAAAGAAGAGCAAACCATAGAGGTACCCTGACCTTGGTAGCACAAGCTCTCCTCCCTGCCCATCAGTGAAAGGGATTTCGGTCTTTCTCATAGAGGGCCGCCGTGTAAACCTTGAATTGGTTTTATTTTCTCTTTGTCTGTTATAATCAATTGACCTTTACATATACGTTGCATGTATTAAATGAAAAGAGGTTTTGGTAGCTTAGAAACATGATTCAAAACATGCCTAGTATTTCCGCAAGACGACAAGCCTATTCTCTAAATATTTACATCGTTGGCGAATGTCTATGTACTTATGGTGATTTTGACTTAACATTTAAATAAAAACCACAAATCTGCTCAATTAAATGCAGGCTTTAATGTATAAAGCCCTCCGTGGTGTCACTTGGTTTGAATGTCACAACCCGGCTCTCCGCTTGTTTTGCCCTTCGCTGCGGTCGCCAGGCGCACGTTCACCTTTGTATTGAGAGCTCCCCCCATGTGTCTATATGAGGATCATTGGAAAGCCCAGAGATTTATGTCGCCGTAAAGGAGGAATCCTTTATAACCGCATAAAGCCATTGTCACCAGAAATTTCAGCCTTAAGTTTTACATGAGAGGGGACATATTTTATCTTTAATGCCTCGTTAAACTTTCTAGAAACTGCAATATTCCCAAACCATTCCAGGTGAATGACTACCTACGGCTGTCCTGGCTTCTGAAAAGTTTAAATAGTATCCGTGACAAAGACAAAACAAAATCATTGGTTCTGGTCATGACTGCAGAGAGCTACTTGAAGAGTTCGACCACCTCTCACCCATCCTTCTTTGAAGGCTCCCGACACAGCCCGAATCCCCCTCCTGGCCTGAAAGGCTGCCCCCACTATTTTAAAGGTGATATCGTCCTTAAGCCCACATTTCTTGCATGTGTTTGTGTGTGTGCACATGTCCACACACCTGTGTGCTTTTATGTACACATGTCTCTGTGTGTGTGCATGTGCACGCGCTCCCACACGTCGCAGAAACTGCATTGCGTGGTGGTGACAAAGACTCCATAACCTGCCTGCCCCATGGTAAACTCTCCACCTTCCTGTGTCCCGGGTCTGTGAATCTGAGTACATTATTCCACCCCTTCCTTCCGTGGTCTCATCTTATCAGGTGGTTCTGAGATCAAAATAAGTTTTGTAAAGGACATTCTACAATGCCCAATGATTAGTAGGTACTAATTTAATCTCGCTGTGACTATTCTTATGCTGATCCTATATTCACCGACTCCCCTGGATCCCTAGAGGCGTGCAATTTCTATGAGCTTCTATTCAAGGTGTATGTCACTATTTAGGGCAAGCTGCCTCCTGCTGTGGCTCAGCAACCTTGCATCCCACACTGCAATATGTCTGTGTATTCAAATGTGGGTCTACTCTTTCTCTCCACTGTGCCAGGTACTGGGGTTAAAATAGCACCTGAGGCAGTGGCTCTCAATCTTCCGAATGCCGTGGCCCTTTCATACAGTTCCTCATGTTGTGGTGACTCCCAACCATAAAATGTTTTCGTTGCTACTTCATAACTGTCATTTTGCTACTGTTATGAATCATCCTGTAAATGTCGGATAGGCGGGATGTATTTTCATTGTTACAAACTGAACATACTTAAAGCGTAGTGATTCATCACAAAAGCAATATGTAATTATATATTGAGGAATATTTATTTCTAATTACAATACAAATTAATGTAATGTTGTCTTGAAGCATGGTGTAGCATGGGTCACAGTCTTCACGCCGGGTCCTCATATGTGGGCGTATCTGCATGTGGGCAGACCCTTCTGGAGACAGATAGAGGAGTGGTGTCTCGTTTCCTAAGGCCATCGGAAATATGTGTTTTCTGATGGTCTTAGGCGACCCCTGTGAAAGGGTCATTCGACCTCCAAAGGGGTCGCGACCCACAGGTTGAGAACCGCTGGCCTCAAGTGTGCCTCCCATCACTAGGCTTGTGCACACAGTCTAGCTGGCTCAAGCACAGATGGGGGGAAATGGGAAATGGCGAGGGCAGGTCAGTTCTGCTAACTTACAATGGGTTTTCTTTTTCAGGGGGCGCCCAAGCCGATAGCCATGGAGCCATGCGCTGGGAACAGAGCTGCAGTTCTGACGGTGTTTCTTTGTCTCCCTCGGGGATCCTCAGGTGCCCCTCCCCCTGGGCAGTCAGGTAGGACCAATGAGGGGCCGTAAAGGCCTTTACATGATTCTAATTTAGAGCGTGGTAAAACTTTATTCAACTACGAACCTTCACTTAAAGTTGCGTTGACAGAGAGTGAAACTCGCTCATGCTTGTCTCATGAACACATAGTGAATGTCTCAGCATTGATGCGTGCGTGTTTAGAACAGACAAATATACACGGGTGTGTCTATGCACCTGTATACACCTGCTCCAATTCCTTTTTATGATTCCAGTGAGAAGTCTCACCAGCCAGGTAAACCCCTCTTGCCTCTCCAACAAACTTCTATCCTTTCAGTGTGTGGATACATGAGAAGCCAAAGGATAAACACCATTAGAAGTGGGCTCTGCTCATGTGCAACCACGCTAAGGGCATTAGTTGCGTGTTGTGAATGGCTAGTGGCATCAGTACCTGACGGTTGGCTGTGACTATTGAAATATATTCAAGGTGTGCTCTCCCTCCCAGAGCAGAAGGTGGAGTTCCTCGGCTAAGGGAAACCCTCACCTTCAGTGGGCCACAGCCAGACAGCCTCTGACCCTGCTTCTCCTGAGCCTGAAAACACATTTTGAATCTCGGGGTGATTGTAAGAATCCTCTGAGAGTTCTTCTGATGGCTGGCATAGTGCCCACATTGTAAATATGCACAGTGCTGAATCTCACTTGTCCTGGACTCTCCGTTTACCTATCTATTGCGCCTACTTTTGTGTTCTCATTTTTCTAGCTCCTCATTGTCTCCTCTATCTAACTCTTAATGGAAGGGATGCTTATGAGAGCCAAGACGAGGTCCGATCTGTTGATCTCTTCAGTTCCCCTTCAGCATAAAATAAAGTGCTAGAGATGGGCAAGGGGGAAGACACGTCATTTTACTCCCATCAAGAGCTACCATCTTGAAAACCTCCAGGGGAAGTTCTACCTTGCCCAGTCGGCTCACTCTGACTCGATTGTAGTGGGTTTGGTTTGGGTTTTTGGAAGGCTGGGGCATTTTACCAATAGGAGTGGCTGGCATGTTCACTCTCCTGGCTTGTGTTCATCCGGACACAAAACCAGAAGACCCTCCACTTCATACCTGGTAAACTTAAGATGTTCACAGAAGAGATTTTTCTCCCATTTGGCGGCGAATCAGCCCATCATTTTCAGACTCGCCATATATGGAAACTGATGATATCCTGTTGTAGGAATTTCTACCCAGAGTTCCTCTGTGGGCGTTTATTCAACGACATAAACAAACCCGATGTGTTGAGTGCATCGAGTGAGTGCTTCGCTCTTTTTCTTGCACCACCAAGGTAAATGGGATGGAGTCAGACAACCACTTTGCCGGGGTCAGATAAGATGGATAATTACAGGTACAGGGCCCAGCTAATGGAAGTATTGTTTTCAAAGCTGGGATGATTTCCAAAACAAACACTTCACTAATGAAAACAAGTCTGGGTGATCTACACCAAAGCGCTCTTAGATCCTTGACAAGATGCCTTACTGATGGGCAGAGTGAAGACAACTGCCAATACTGTGTCCCTTTAACCTTTCAAAGCCTTTTGGACTGACGTAAAAGAGCTGTGTGGACCATTAGCTCAGCCGTGTCTTATTGTGGATGCATTATGATTGCTAATGATAATGCTGCCCTGGACGGGCATAGTGCTTTCCTGTTTATCATGTCCAATCCTCATGACAGACCCACTTAAAAAAATAATAATATTATATAGACTTTGTAGTGCAAGTTCACATAGCCAGTTAGGTGCCTATGTGACAATGCTTCCGTGGCATTGGTTAGATTTCTCACCGTGTGTCAGAAGTTTCTTTAATAATTTTCTGTTTGTTTAGTATATGTGCTGCCGAAGCGAGCACAATTTTCTGTTTGTTTTCTTTCTCATTTCCCTGCTCTAATTTCCTTGCCCCCTTATCTCCTCATCCATGCTTTGAGTAACACTTGACCTTTTGCTCTCACACTGATGATTTTTAAGTTGGGCACTCGCCTTTATTTTGTGTGTCCCTCTGCCCTTTCCCCAGGAGGTTCTAGAGATTAAGGGTGTCTCTGAGCGGTCACCACCGGAGTCCTTTGTTCTCCAAGTTGTTTGGCTTTCTTTTATTTATTTTCTTAAGAGATTTTTAATTCTGAGTCACATTTTTCTCCCATACTATCCAGGACCAACTATTGTGACCCCAGTCATGAGGTTCACTGGCGATAGCCAGGCATCGTCTAGTTCTTCTGATCTCAAGGTAGACGAGATTGTGGCTCATGTAGCCTTGTTTCTTCTCTGAGGTTTTAGTTACCTCCTTACTCTTTGGCTCCTGGTGGATAGAGACCCACAGATGGGGCTTAGATTGCTGCTCCTTAAAAGCTCTTACTAGCCAACACAATACTCACCTTACCAGGATGCCTATGTATGTAACTATGTAATGCCCTTTGATGGAGTTGTCCCATGAGGCTATGGTCATGAGCTCTCAAACCTAAAAAACAAATCATGAAAGGTGTTTGGTTGTGTCTGAAAAGGATCCATATTTGCTTCTTCAATGAATCTATTTGGCTATGCCCACTTATTTGTATTTGCACAAACCTCAAGATACTTCTCAATAGCCCTGAGATGTGGCTTAGGTGGTTAGGCTGCAAAGTCAACTGTTCAAACCCGCCAACCACTCAATGGGCAAAAGATGAGGCTGTCTACTCCCATGAAGATTTACAGCTCTGGACACCTTATAGAGGGTTGCCATGAATGGGCATCAATGTGATGACAGTGAGTTTGTTTATCTTGTTTTGGGTACAGATGCCTCTAGCTACTCACCTATGTACACACCTGTAGCACCCAGATACTGATTTGCCTATTTCCATTTATAGAAAGCACCAAATTTCTACATTCAAGGGATAATTGGGGTTTGGGGCCAAGAGCAGTGTATTATAGAACAAAAAAGCAAAATGAAATTTATCATTAACATTCCAGGTAATGTTTTCTGATCACCTGTAGTAGGGAGCTTATGTTCCTGTGATGAACATCCTGTGTCTTCACAAAGCAAACATTTGGATGAAAATTGTATCAACAAAATATGGAGATGACTTACCATCCTTTTTCAAAGAGCCTGTAGATTGAACTATGATGAACACCTGTATGCATTTAGGGTGAACTTTGCCAAATGTTTTTAAATCTAATAAATTCCTTTTATAGGCATACAGATAGGATGAGGGAGACTCTTTGAGTCTACTCCTTCAACGTACAGTATTAACGGTTGCCTATAGTGTATTTTGAAGTACATCAAAAACATATAGGGCATTGCTGAATGGTGAATGGAGCGTAGGACACATAGATAGACAAAGGTGTTATAAAACTAGAAAACAAGTTAAGTAAAAAGTGCTCATGGCAGAACCTGGATAGTGAGCATGGTGGAAGCCTCATAAAAGTCTTTCACCTTTGCTGTGTGTGTGAACATTTTTTTAAGAAAATGTGGGGACATAATTAAAACCTCCCAACTTCATGACAAAATAAAAAAAGGCAGTATTGGCAGAGAAATTGTCTAATGTTATCAGTTAGGTTTTCCTTGAACAAGGCAAATACTGACCCTGATAAATAAACCACACAGCTGTTTGTGGTCTGCTCTCTCAAGATGTTTTATATTATACATGCACAGCCAGATAAACTGAACATTGTATATCATCCGTACTTTGAAAGGAGAAATTGTGTGAGAACTGTATCTGCTCTTTGAAGGGAAATGTTGAGATCAGTTGTCTCCTGGCCAGAATTTGATCGCTGTCTTCATGGGAAGCATGTGTATAAGTGTGTACTTACCTGCACATGGAAAGCAAGCAGTTCCTGGAGGCTTTTGACCATGGAGATGATGACGGTGATGGTGACGGTGATGATAAGACACCTCAGAGGTGCAATCTTGAGCAACCACTGCCGTCCATAAGCCTCAGTTCAGTACAGCCTTAATGAATGATCGGATGAAAATATATTTGTGTTTCTAGATTGTTCTTCTAGAGACCCTGTGTTCGGAAGAACCACCCCCAGCTGGGCTGGGGGTGTTGCTGAGGAAGAGAAGGAGAGCTTCATGGCCAGACTCCTGAGCCATCTCCACAGTGGGGACAGGGCCTGCCAGGCGTGCTTCTGGGTCTTCAGCTGCTTGTCTACAAATGTTAGCATCACTGCTCAGCGCTTCACTTGGCATTCGTTATTTCAAAACTTCTCTTGCCTGTTAGGGACAGCTCAGATAAATGACACCAGGTTTTGGCCACTCTTGTATAGTAAAACAAAAATTCTTTGTTGTTATTAACTTTACAGAGTCTCAGATCTTTCATCAGGCACTTTTTGAAATCAACGGTCCACATGTTGGATGATGCTCTTGATGATGGACTCTTCCCTGTCACATATAAAAGTGTGCAGGTGAAGGGGGGCATTTGAGAGTGCAGGGCAGGCACCAGGAACAAGGTGACTTCCCACAGAAACTCAAACTCAGCTCTAGCCCGTGACTCAGAAACACGCAGAAGCTAGCGTGGCAAACTCTGCAGTAGCAGCTCGTGATCGCTCCTGTCAGATTTAAAATATGGCATTGTCTTTAGGCTTTGTGTTGTGCCCTTCCCACAAATAAGTATCTCAGTAATGCGTAGTGATGAAGGATTAGACAGCCACCCTTTGAGTGTTCTCCCTGAAATGTACAAAGTCCCTGCCAGGACCCTCGTGTTGTACAGCTCGAACGGCGAGCTGGGCAGATCCATTAGGTGGACATGCCACGTACCTCCTGTGTTTGTTTATTTGTTTGGTTAGTACAATGCAGTTAGGCTTTCTCGAGCCATGCTTCCTCTAGATGCTTCCTATATTTTCTACTCTTAACTCCTGGCAGCCATTCTGCAGAGTGCTACATGGAGTTTTTGTGTTGAAATATATTCGCCAGGCAGTCTCTCTCTTTTCTGATCTCCGGGCGGTGGCAAGACTGCCGTCATCCCGTGACAAGAGGGCACTTGCGGCCGCTATCCACAGGCGAACAGGTCTCCAATCGCCCCGGCCAGC